TCCAAAAAACGAAGAAAGCAACAATTCTTAAACAAAGTGGCCGATCTCTGTTCTGCTGCGTGCGTCTGTCGACAGAAATCTGCAACCTACACAGAGAGAGTCGCTACTCTGTGTGTGCCACTGAATCCACCCCACCTCACCGATCCCAATCTCAATCCCAATGTCCCGCTCTATTACCTTTTACCCATCATTTTTTTTTTTTTGAGTATTGATATTAGTGATTTTACTATGACTTTTGGATTGATTGCGGGCTCCATCAAACATTGGAACTTGGAATTAATCTAATGGTTCCAATGAAACTATATCATTATATCAACAAATTATATCAAATTTTTAAGTCTCAATAACATTATTCTTTTTTTTTTTTTTGTCTTTTAACCCAGCAATATCAAGGGAAAGGCTCCGGTATCGTACCGAAATTTATAATTATTTAAGATTAAGTTATAATTTTTTTTAAAATTATAGGTTATAATTTTTAAAGATCATGATAAATTCGAATTGATATCAAAANTTTATAATTATTTAAGGTTAAGTTATAATTTTTTTTAAAATTGTAGGTTATAATTTTTAAAGATCATGATCGATCATGATAAATTCGGATTGATATCAAAGTTACAATTTTTAAAAATTAAATTACAACTCATAAGAGAAAAATTATAACTACTCAGGAGAAGTCCATGATCGATCATGGTCCCCTTGATCAATTATGGACTTCCCTTGAGTAGTTGTAACTTATCCGTTTTAAATTATAACTTTATCATAAAAATAATAAGTGACCGTACGATACCAAAGGTAAGCTAAGTTCAATATCAAATATTGAACTTATATATTTTTAATTTGGTACTCCCAAATTTCAATATTTTATGTAAATAATTTTCTATCAGGGCTCTCTTACTTCGAAAATTTTCTACTTACCCCAACAACTTCGGCATTAGTAAAAGTGTTTTTATTTTCCCAATGATCTTTTTTTGCGGAGAAGATTCACTTCAAGCTCTCAGTTTTAGACAAACAAGGACAAAAATTAAACTTGCAACTAGAAAACATAAGAAATTTTTTTGTTATTTTAACTTAATTTAGATAACTAATAGATCGTGATTATTGAATTAAAAATTAGATTCAGTTAATAGTGAAACTCACAATTAATCATAAACTAATCNGCGGAGAAGATTCACTTCAAGCTCTCAGTTTTAGACAAACAAGGACAAAAATTAAACTTGCAACTTGAAAACATAAGAAATTTTTTTGTTATTTTTACTTAATTTAGATAACTAATTGATTGTGATTATTGAATTAAAAATTAGATTCAGTTAATAGTGAAACTCACAATTAATCATAAACTAATTGAATAATTTCAATGAATTAAATCTCTAATCCAACTTAAGTCTTTATAACATTCATTTGCTCTCGAGTTCTTAATTTTTATCCAAACTTGATATTGGGCTTTGTAAGTTGATGATGTGTATAGCTCAATTGTGCAGAACTAAGAATGTTAGGTGCACCGAAAGGGCTTTGTAAGATAAATTATATTTACATCCCCTGACATTTGACTAAATGACACATAGACTCCTTGATNCCAACTTAAGTCTTTATAACATTCATTTGCTCTCGAGTTCTTAATTTTTATCCAAACTTGATATTGGGCTTTGTAAGTTGATGATGTGTATAGCTCAATTGTGCAGAACTAAGAATGTTAGGTGCACCGAATAAAATAAGATAAATTATATTCACATCCCCTGACATTTGACTAAATGACACATAGACTCCTTGATATTTTTACAATTACATGAAAACCCCTTGTCGGCGTCGATAGGTGATCGGCATTAACAAAAGTGATAAATGACTATTTTAACCATTTAATTTAATTTAAAATAAAATAATACATAATAAGTAATAAATAAAATATATTATCAAAAATTAAATTAACCTACAACAAACCTCATCACAACCCTTACTGACAGGAGTCTCACTAATCCCTTACACCACCGACTGCCGCCACCACTCCTCTCCTATCTCNTTTAATTTAATTTAAAATAAAATAATACATAATAAGTAATAAATAAAATATATTATCAAAAATTAAATTAACCTACAACAAACCTCGTCACAACCCTTACTGACAGGAGTCTCACTAATCCCTTACACCACCGACTGCCGCCACCACTCCTCTCCTATCTCTCTCTCTCTCTCTACCAACCTGCACCGAACCCATCACAATCAAACCTCCCAACTCAGCTACCACCACTCTAAACCCATCACTCCCATCGACCTAACCTAGCGGCCATCACTCCAAACCTATCACTCCCCACCCCCTTCTCTTTCTCTTTGTACCTCTCTCTTCTCTCTCCCTCTCAGATCCACCCAGCCCCCAACCCCACAAACTCCATCGACCCAACCCAACTGTCGCCACCACCACCACTTCAAACCTGTCACTCCCAATCCCTTCTCTTTCTATCTCTTCTCTCCCTTTTAGATCCACCCAGCCCCTTCCCTGCAACAAACCACATCGACCCAACCCAGCTTCTGCCACCACTACCACCACTCCAAACCATCACTCTGAACCCCCCTTCTCTTTCTCTCTTTTATCTCCTTCTCAAATCCCCCAGTTCCCTGCCCCCTTTCGTACAACAAACCCAATCGACCCAACCCCCAGCTGCCACCACCACTCCAAACCATCACTCCCAACCCCCTTTTATCTCTTTGTCTACCTCTCTTCTCTCAAATCCCCCTGCCCCTCGGTCCCCACCCTGCAAACACTTTAATTATTGATGTGATAATTAATGCTCTATTTAGTATAATGAAAAAAATAAAAAGATAAAAAGTTAGAAGCATATAAAATTAAAAAAATACATAAAACATCATGTTCGATAAAAAAGAAAAATAAGAATAATAAAAAATAGATTGATGAATCTTTTTTCTAACTCACCAAAATTAATCTCTCTAAAATTAAAAAAAAATAGATAAAAAATTAATTATTTGAGTTGAAATATATTTTATTTGTTTATATATCTTTTAATATATACATATTAGTGATAACTCATACCTGAAAGTACGATAAAATATAAAATTTGAGCCTCTAAAAAATCGATCCCACTATATTAAATTTTTTTAAAATACATTAATTATAAATTAATCAAATATTAAATAATTAAATATATAATAGAAATGAGTGATATAATATTTTTAGGAAAGATATATATAAATAATTAAACATGTGATAAAAACAAGTAATATGATTTTATGTTTAAGTCTAACAAAGGGATGATAGATAAGATAAGTGATTAGTGATAATTTTGAAAAAAAAAAAATATGATTAAAATAAAATTCAAACACACTCTTGTTTTATTATATAGATATTATATATATTAATTTTATTTATATTTGCTTTAAAAAAATTAAAAAAAAATTTTTAAAAATATAATATATATATATATATATATANGACCCAACCCCCAGCTGCCACCACCACTCCAAACCATCACTCCCAACCCCCTTTTATTTCTTTGTCTACCTCTCTTCTCTCTTCCTCTCAAATCCCCCTGCCCCTCGGTCCCCACCCTGCAACAAATCCCATTGTACCCAATCCCAACTGCCACCACCGCCACCGCCATCGCTCCAAACTCAACCCTCCCGACCCCAGTTGCTACTGTCATCATCACTTCAAACTCACCACTCTCGGTTGAACTACTTACCCTAGTTGAAGATAATTTTTTATTAATTTTAATCAAAATGTAATGATTTAATGTTAATCTTTGATTAATTTTTATAATTGCATAATTAATGTTGGTAAAATGATAAATTATGATAATTAGTAGACAAGATTATCTTAAAAAATATTGGACATGCTATAGAGGGGTAATTTTGAAATCAGATAAAATATATGAGGGGGTCTCTGTGTTATTTGGTCAAATGTCAAGGGTGTGAATATAATTTATCCAATTAAATAATGTTCAATTAAATATGTAATTAACAATATAAAATTAATCACATACTCGGGGTACAACATAAAAAACGATAATTGAATCATATTTTAAGAGACCAAAATATAATAATTTACCCTGAGGATAACATCGTTGATTTCAGGCTTCGAGTTCGAGTAAAGCATTGCAAGCTCTGGCCGGATGCAAATTTTCACATCTAAGACGGTTTACATTAGAAAGGAAAAATTATATTTGAAAATCTAATTAAAAGATTAGAGATATAATTTAGGAATATAATGACGTTTAATTATTAAAATGTGTATAAATTGATCTAAACACTTTAATTATTGATGTGGTAATTAATGCTTTATTTAGTATAATGAAAAAATAAAAAGATGAAAAGTTAGATGCATATAAAATTAAAAAAATAGATAAAACATAATGTTCGATAAAAAAAGAAAAATAGGAATAATAGAAAAATAGATAGATGAATTTTTTTTCTAACTCACCAAAATTAATCTCTCTAAAATTTAAAAAAAATAGATAAAAAATTAATTATTTGAGTTGAAATATATTTTATTTGTTTATATATCTTTTAATATATATATATTAGTAATAACCCGTACTTGAAGATACGATAAAATATAAAATTTGAGCGTCTAAAAAATCGATCCCACTATTTTAAATTTTTTTAAAATACATTAACTATAAATTAATCAAATATTAAATAATTAAATATATAATATAAATGAGTGATATAATATTTTTAGGAAAGATATATATAAATAATTAAACATGTGGTAAAAACAAGTAGTATGATTTGATGTTTAAGTCTAACAAAGGGATAATAGATAAGATAAGTGATTAGTGATAATTTTGAAAAAAAAAATATGATTAAAATAAAATTCAAACACATTCTTGTTTTATTATATAGATATTATATATATTAATTTTATTTATATTTGCTTTAAAAAAATTAAAAAAAAATTTTAAAAAATAATAAATATATATATATATATATATATTTTTTTTTTTTATCTAAGAGTAAAATTTTTCTGACTCAACATAATGACACATCTCAAACTCAACACAAATTTTATAACATTATAACACGATCATTAAGGTCCTAACCATATCATTAAGTCACTCAATAAAAGATTATTGCCCCATTAGAAAACATTGGACTTACACAAAAACTAAAATCTAGCAGCACAACAACACACTTCATTAAATTTTAAATCCAAAACCACTTACACGTCACACCTAGTAAGAACACCAAACAACCNATAACATTATAACACGATCATTAAGGTCCTAACCATATCATTAAGTCACTCAATAAAAGATTATTGCCCCATTAGAAAACATTGGACTTACACAAAAACTAAAATCTAGCAACACAACAACACACTTCATTAAATTTTAAATCCAAAACCACTTACACGTCACACCTAGTAAGAACACCAAACAACCGCGCAAACCAACGTTTTCATTTCCATAGTAAACTTTAACCTACACGACAAGAGAAGCTAGCCAGCACATCAGGCATTTTCATGGTTGTCTACTCTTGGCCACTAGTGACAGAAAATGACCTTGAGCTCATGTGGCGACGAGCACTCATGCATGAGAGAAGGGCTGTCATGGGCGTACGTAAATGTAGCCGGACAAGCATGCTTGAAGAACTCAGAGTAGCTTGAAGCTCTACACGTCTGTGGACTATTGTAATGGTTTCTACAACACAGCTCGTCTGTACCCATAGCCTCGCACCCACTCTTACAACCCACCACCTTCCCATGACCCGCCGGGTACCGGAACTGCAAACTCGCCGGACAAGTCGCTAGCAAGTCAGGCTTACATCCGACGACCGGACACTTGCCCTTGCCTTCGTGGGGTGTCACCGTCATGGGGAGGTTGAAACCGTCGACGAGGCTGACGCCGTAGGAGGAGAAGTCAGCTTGGCCGTGGTGGAGAGAGAACTGGGCTAAGGTGGCGGGAGTTGCGCCACCGTGGCCTGCGCATTCGAGTTTCCCAGCGCAGTCACCGGTGATGCAGCTGAAGCGGCCGTTGGAGTGTGTGCAGCCGGTGCGGCCCCAGAGACGGCCGGACCAAGGTTGTTCGGGGACTGGGAAGGAGCGGTGGTTTAATGTTTCAAGGGCGAAACCACCTTTCTCGAGGACGGGGAGGCCGGAGTTGGGTTGGATGGCTGGCCAGATTGTGAAGGGACAGTTGTTGACTACTGTTAGAACGAGATCGGGATGTGCGACAGTGGCGGTGGAGAGGGTGAGGAGGAGAGAGAGAGAAAGGAGGGTGGCAGAAGCAGTGGTGGCCATGGCTGGAGTTGATAACGAAGACGGGGTGTGAGGAGGCTTGGGAGATGGCTTGGTTTATATAGACGTGAATGGTGTGTGACACACTAGTTACCTAGTGTCGGTGTTGGAAGAGGAGGTCTAGCGGTGAGTGTGAAATGACTGTACAACCCTTTCTAAGTACGTTATAATGGTTAGTGTCTATTTTGCAATTGCAGTTACATCACTCGGATAATTATATGTCAAAAAGTTATTATTTTTTAAGATTAAATTACATTTAATTAAAACTATTTATGGAATAATTCAAAATCAAGTGTTTTTTTTTAACTTAAAAAAGTATAATTTATTTTTTTAAAATTAATCATTTAAAAAAATTATAATATTTGAATCTTCATCTTGTCATAATATTTTTGTTCAAAGTTATCGGATCAAAAAAGTTACAACAAAAATAAAACAAAGCATAAAGTAAAGCGAAGGAAAGGTGAACGTACTGCATCATTGCAGGGAATATTACCTTTATGTTTGGAATATACTCCTAATAATAGTGTAGTCGAAAAAAATAAATAAAAATAAGGATTAAATAATGAGATATTNCGTACTGCATCATTGCAGGGAATATTACCTTTATGTTTGGAATATACTCCTAATAATAGTGTAGTCGAAAAAAATAAATAAAAATAAGGATTAAATAATAATAATAATAATAATAATATAAATTTTAAATGTAAAAAAATATGATTTCATATTATTTGATATCGATTTTTAATCTCTTTTTTAATTAATCCAGCATGCAGTATTTCTCCACTGTAAATTACTAACATTTAACAACAATAAAACCTATTTGATATTTGTATTCATTTCAAAAATAAAAAAATTTAAAACTGTCACCACCTCCAATTGTAGTTTTGGTTTGATTACTATTTTAAATTAATAAAATTCATCTTTACTATTTATTTTGGTCATATAATAATATTATTTAAAATTAATTTGTTGACATAATTTATTGTAAGTATAAAATTAGTTGTGAATCTCAATAAATATTAAATTTCACTGTCAACCCAATATTTATGAATAATCTTTTCAGTAGTGCTATACTGACCAAAATTAGTGACCAAAAAGATTGGCTAAATGATATGACGACTAATATGGAGAGTCTAACGACCAAATACTCTTCTCAAGTTTGAATACCCACATTGTGTAAATCAAAAAGAGAAGTGAATTAATGCAAATACTCTTCGTCGATGAATACCCACATTGTGCAAATCAAGGAAAAAAATGAATTAATCTTGCCTAATTAATCATTCACGTCAATTGTCATGTCATTTGATCAATCTTTTTTATCACTAATTTTTGTCAGTATAACATTACTGTATTTTTTTAGTTAAATTCGTTGATCTAATGATCTCCCGGTATAATAAATAAAATTTGAGAAATTATTTGGTATATATAAATCATTGTTCGAAAAAAGAGTTTTATTTTTGGAGAAGTTATAAAATGAATTAACAAAATCCAAAAGTAAAAAACAAATCATCCTTTTGATTGGATAAGATTGCAGCAGTGGAAAAGTGTCACGTTTTGTCCATGGCGTTTTCCCCGAGAAAAGATAAAAAGAAGGAATCATGTGCCGAGCCACAGAAACACCAAGCAGTGTATAGTAGGTAGGGCCCACAATGTACGAAGGAAATGAAAAGACAAAAGTAGTAGTGGATAAAAAATGTTAAAAGGAAAATAATATTTGTATTTAATTTAGTAAAGTTTATTTGTTGAATTGAATCGATATTAGGTCTTAAATGATAGCAAGATTTAATCTCAATTTAATAATAAAAAATAATAAAATTAATAAATAAAATCTATTTAGCACTGCTCAATGTTAAAATTTATATAAAATAATCTGTGGTCAGACATAGCCGGTGAAGTTATCAAGTTCCTGTCCAGATAATTCCAAGTCCCAACATAAACTTTTACCACCAAAAATAAAAGAGAAATTCTACATTACCCAAAAAAAACAATGTGATACTGTCTCGTGGTTATCACTATTTATTGGTAAAATTAAAAATTTAAAAAGAGAAATTACAATTGCTACATAAAAATTTATGATTAATCACACACACCTATAATCGATCAAGAAAATTTTGATATCGATCTCAATCTTTTATAATTGATCATACATACCCTTTAAAATTATAACTTGTACCTCAAAAAAAATTATAACTTAAAAAGCCTTTAAAAGTTATAATTTTTGACAGTACCATAGCTTTTCCCATAATAAAATAACTAACACTATTGGGACATGATTTTAAAATATAATTTGAGGATTTAATACATTATTATCGTTGAAATTGATGGTCAGATGCATTTCAATACTAAGNTTGGGACATGATTTTAAAATATAATTTGAAGATTTAATACATTATTATCGTTGAAATTGATGGTCAGATGCATTTCAATACTAAGACCCAATGCTAATACAATGATCACAATCGTAATGTTCCCAAAAAAAATTGTTCAAATAAAATATTAAGTGTAGAAGCTTTTGTTCACTTGGGCTTTCAAGGGTGTATTGGGCACATGTAATTGGAATAGCTGGGCAATGTTAAAATCCACGACTCCGAATCTCACAAACTTTTCTCTGTCTCTAGACATAGAAACATACCAAAGCTTAGTGGGCCGAAGCCCACTAGAACTGACAAGATCTTAGTGCGTTGAAACACAAGACAGTCCCAACTGACGAGAAATATGTTAAAAACAAGTCCAATTATGTCTATCCTTAATCCTAATTGTGACAACGTAAGAATCCAATGTAAACATAGTATCTATTTAAATATGCATGAATGACCCCTTGAAATAAGCATGCACAAAAGTGCTATAACTAATGCTCCGTTTAGTAGAGAGAATGAAAAGTAAGAAAGATGAAAAGTAGGAAGGCTACACTTTCTATCCTTCAAGAATGAAAAGTATAAATAATACACTTTCCTTCCTTTGTTTTTATTTCTCCAACTTTTCATCCTTCCAACTTTCTATCCTCCCACTTTTCTATCGTACCAAACGGAGCATAAAGGATTTATGCAAATGCGTACTTGAAGAATGCCTTATGGAAACTATACAAAAAGATAAAAACATAAAAAGAAGGTGTTCATCTAGTTCTTTTATGCTCCGTTTGGTAGAAAGTATGAAAAGTAAAAAGAATGAAAAATAAGAGAGATACATTTTCTATCCTTCAAAGATAGAAAGTAAGAATGATACACTTTCCTTCATTTGTGTTTAGTTGGATTGATGAAAATTAAAAATAATTTTTTTTTTAATTTTTTTTGTGTTAACTAAGATTAGGAATAACAATCGAGTCGTGTCATGTCAGATTCGTGTTGAGTCATAAAATTATGAACCTTTTATATTTTTTATTCGCATGTTAGGTCATTTTCAAATTGGTGTCGAGTTATAATCAAGTTCGTGTCATAAAATTCGTGTCAAGTTCGAGTCGTATTATCGTATTGAATCAAAAAATTTCACCCCTAAAAAAGATGAAAAAATATATTTTTTTTAATTTAATATTTTTAAAATATATATAAATCCATATTTTAACATTGTATTTTTATATAGAATTAATGTATATATAATATATAAACAAATAAGATATATCTCAACACAAAAAATTAACTTTCCATTCACTTTCTTTTCGATTTTGGAGGGATTGATTTTGGTGCGTTAAAAGAAAAATTAATTCATCAACTTTTCCATCTGTCTTACTTTCTTTCATTACCAAATATGATGTTTTATTTATCTCTCTAACTTTTTATCTTTCCATTTTTTTATCATACCAAACAGAGCAACGGTACTTGAATCTTCGGTTGTGATAAATGAGGTGGTGTAAACATGTGTAAATTATGAAGAAGAAATGTATATATCATGTATGCAAGTGACAATAATGCACAAACTGCCTCCTACAGGATTAAATCGAACAATGCTGACATTTTATGATGCAAGCAATTCACGTAATCAAATATGCATTGGCGGGTCCACATGCCGACGGGATGCTTCAAGCACTCACAGGGAAATAATGGAAGACTTAGAATTTAGCATGGATGCAATGATAAATGCTAAAGGTCAACCCACAATGAGAAGCCTAGATTCATGATCTTATCATTTCACCATATAGTGGCATAGGATCCCACACACTTTTTCACAAACATTCCATGGTTTTCAATTTTGGTTATGATTACCAAACATTTGCGAGTTTAAAAAAAAAAAAAAAAGTTCCTACGTACTTAAAATGAGCCCCCACCTCTCTCCCCATCTTCTATACCCACTTCCACCTTGAACCAACTCAAGCTTAAGATGAGAACACTGACTCTAGTCCATTTTCTCGTCCTATGGCTTCTGCTGGCCACATTTCAACCCCATTTCACCATTATTTCCAAGGTTCAAGCTATAGAACCAGGCAAGCTACTAACTTCATATCCCCACTAGTTATACAATGTCACTTGATAAAACACGAGTTTGCACTATGTAGATAGTACCATCTTTATGTTTGAGCCAAAAGAAATAGGAAATCTGGTAAAAAAAACTCACCCGCTTTGATGCTTGCATAATACAAGTTTCTAATGGAGCTTACCTTCTCATTTCCCCCTTGTGTAGTTGATTTCAAGCTCAGGCTGGCACCCCACAGCTCAAGGTCGACCGCTGGATATATCCTAACTACATGGGTAGGTATAAAGTGTATGATTTTTCTTTGTAGGAGTGATAACTTTTTCCTTTCATTTCTATTCATCCAGCGGCTTATATCTCTGAATCGATATATAACAAACTGAATAATATCAAGCAGGTAAAAGAGAACATGAATCATAAGAAGCCATCTGGACCCAACCCAGTTGGAAATCATCGCCCACCATCAACGCCTTGAATCCATGAATGCATTTGTACTGTCTATTGAGTACAAACACAGTATTTCTTAAAAGGGTGATGGAGGTCAGACACATTTGTACAAGGTAGCAAAAATCTCATGTAGGGTGTTTGGTTTGTCCAACGATGGGATATTTTGGTAAGTTTTGAATGCCTTGACACTTTGTCCAACAAATGGCAGCAGAATCTTCTGTGACATCTAAAGCACTTTCTAAATGACTCCTATGTTTTAAAACAAAGTTTGTAGACATTACCCTAATGTCTCAACATAGGTTATTTCTCTTCCTCTGGAGTAATGTATGCCGTATTTATGTTTTATTAACCATCTTCCAAGACAAGCTTCTATCCCTGAGCTTCGCAAAATATTCCAGAGCAGATTATACCTAAGCCAAAAAAGTTCACTAGCCAAGTTGCTGCTTCATGCTAGTATTAGGCCATCCGCCCATATCACTTGATAATTTCTAATTCTCATACGCTGAAAATGGTGTAGTTGGAGACGTGGAAGGCCAAATGCAAATGTGGCTTGGAAAGAGGTTTTTGTTCAGTTAAATTGAGTTAGGTTGTGTGTGGCTCTTTCCAACCTAATAGACAATTGATTTTCACGATATATAGACCTTGAATGAGCCGACATGAAAATGGCCACTATTTATTGAAAATAAGATACAAGTTGTTAAATATACAGCATTCAGCAGACACTACCAACATAAGTATATAATTTCATACCGCACGCTTCCTCTTTGAGCGCTTAGACTTCCTTGGGCCAGAATAATCTGAAACTGGTTTCCTACTTCTTGAAGCGTATGCCTCCTCCAGAACCTCCTTGTCCTGCAGGAAACCTGAATCAGATTCTGAACACCACATTAAAGAATAGTATTTTATTGGGGCAAGAGATCCCTTCAACTTTTGAACTGAGTATCCACTAAATTACCGTATCTTAAAGTAGGGCCTAAAATATGAGTGGTTGGTTACCCATTTTAGATAAAAGGATTAAGTCCATGAGCTCTTGCTAAACATTAATCTAAGCAGTCATCTATAAGTTTTAGAAGGTATCTAGAATTGCCTCCAATTGATTGGTTTGTCCATCGATAAGATATTCACCATTTGTATAATCGGTACCCATTGCTTACAACAAAATGAGTCCACCGAATACCATAAGAATTTTGGTGCATTGAAGATCTTATCGCTTGTCTCCCTTTTAAGCACAATGACACATCAACTTTCTGCCTTTGTTAAACAGTAAGAAAACAAGGCATCCCTTTTGATATAAGAGCAGGGTGGGTAAGGAAAGTGGACCCATGGTGATGCCCTTGGCTATTGAAAGGGTACAAGCATCAATTTGTGCCCTGTTCTAAGTACACCATGGAGGTATCATAAGTGACGCTTTGAGTTCATAGAGATTTGTAATAAGCAAAACCTATTAACATATTCCTCATTTTGTCAATCTATTGCACTAACGACATGTCTCATGACAATAACTGAATGAGAAGCACAACAACCTAAAGTAGTTAGCCCACTTTATCAATATCAACCCCACAATGTCATATCCAGATCATGATCATTGCAGAGTCTCAAATTTGACTCTTACATAGAGCAGTAGTCTCTCGGAGTTTCTATTTGAATCCTTTGCTTTATCACATTTCAGCTTAAGGACTTCAAATGACACATGCATGTGACTATTGTATGAAGTAAATATTGAGTGCCCTGGACAGGAAATATAAAAGGAAAGTTCAAATCTTTAATTTCAAATGCCACCAGGATACACTTTCCTCGAAGCAGCCTAATGGCCGAAACATGCAACTTGAATACAATTTGAGATGGAAAAAGTAGCCAAGGTGAGTTCAGANAACAACCTAAAGTAGTTAGCCCACTTTATCAATATCAACCCCACAATGTCATATCCAGATCATGATCATTGCAGAGTCTCAAATTTGACTCTTACATAGAGCAGTAGTCTCTCGGAGTTTCTATTTGAATCCTTTGCTTTATCACATTTCAGCTTAAGGACTTCAAATGACACATGCATGTGACTATTGTATGAAGTAAATATTGAGTGCCCTGGACAGGAAATATAAAAGGAAAGTTCAAATCTTTAATTTCAAATGCCACCAGGATACACTTTCCTCGAAGCAGCCTAATGGCCGAAACATGCAACTTGAATACAATTTGAGATGGAAAAAGTAGCCAAGGTGAGTTCAGAAAAGAAAGAAATAAAAAGGTGCACCCTCCTTTCCAAAACCAAGAAAAAAAAAAAAACCAAACCTAAAATCTGCAATGCGGTCAAATTTCAATTATTATGGGTCTGCCTGCCATTTTTTATACTTGATGCTTCTGGAACATAAGGACAGTCCCTGATTTGGCATTTCATAGAACTAGGTTTCTATAACAAATAGTTAACTGAGGAAGACAAAACTAGTGCAAAATAAACTCTACGGTGACATTAGAAATCACAAGTTGAAACTTACCTTTGACTGAGTCTCTTCATCTGTGTCTTCTGTAGAATCAGACGCAGAAGCCAAAGTCTGAACCTGTTCTGCAGGCAGTGCCTTAGTCTCTTTATTCTTCTTCTTCTCTTCTTCTTTCAACTGTCTAAACCTGATTAAATATAATTCTCCTCCATAAGGCAATTTTTTTAAGCAGCTGAAGAATCAAGTACACAAACTCCCATTTAGAACACAAACCTATCTCCAGTTCGTTCTGGCTGAGAAGATGATCGTTTTGCACGACCTGCACTGATGATGCCACTTGCATTCTCACTCACAATAGGCTTGGCACCACCAAGTTTGCGTAACCATACCTGCTGCGCAGTGCTGAGCACGTTGTTCGTAAACCTAGTTATCCCACAATGCAGTTCATAAATTAACATCTACATTGAATATTCCGGTTTGGAAACATCAACTAAGTGACACTTGAAGAGATTGTGATGAGATTCAAAGCCAGAAACATGTCTCCTGAAAAAACTGTTGGTAAAGATTTGATGCAGCGTGCCACCTTCTAAACACTTTCAGTCACAAAACAACAAAATGCAACCTGACTAGCCAACTAGTCATGCCATGATATACTTATTGATGTTACTAGAAATGGTCGTGTGGACAAGAAATCCTGGTTGATATAGTTTGGCAGAGGCAACATACTTTTGTGGGCAAAAAGCACCAGGAAGTCCATATAGCAAACTATTACTTGTTTACAATACAGTAATTTTACTCAAAACAAGAGTCAGCATCTTGTAATGAATAATACTAGTAGATGCTTACTGACTAGTAAATAAAATGCCATTAATTTATTTAATATAGGATTTATAAGTACGTTTTGTCAATATATTCTAAAAGTTGTTAACATTGCTATGCTACAATATGCTACTAACTGGTTAAGAACAGTGCCATGTTAATTCTTCTATTTTATATGCTCTTTGGCACCACTCCCTGCTATTTGCGTATAAAGGCAATCATCGCGTGACCAAGTTTCAAGTTTATGTTGAGCATTACCTCAATAGTCATGAGTGTGTTAGCTAGAAAGTTCCAACTTTATTTTAAGCATTACCTTCTTTAAAGAATTTACTGAGATTCAACTAAAGTTTCATGTTCTACCTGCTAATACCCACACAACTTTTGAGATTAAAAATTTAATAACAACATGAGGATCATGAAATATCAAAATATCAGTAGTTCTCCAAATCTTTTTTTTTTTTTTAAACATGTTTATCGGTCTGTACGGGAGCGCAAAGTAGGAAACACGAATATAAATACGAATATGGGATACGGATACAATACGATACAGATACGACAAAATCTCAAAAAATAGGATACGGGTACGGTAAGAATACATTTATATATACATACATACATTAGAATGTTATTACAATACTAGGGATATGAGGATTAAGAAATAAAACACATCCAAACTAAAATAATTTATGTTACTAACATAGGACTACTTAATGGTATTTTAAATTCAAGATTCTATGTAATTCTAAAGTTGAAGACGTATCACCTTTTGAAAATTCTCAACTTTTACTTAGCATTTAATTACACAATAGACTTCATTGGCTTTAACATAAGCCACAAAAACACATTATTCAAGCCAACCAAATTGTAAAGAATTCACAAATCTTGTGATATATGTGACGCACGTCCAAATGATAATGTTGGAATGAGGAATCCCCACTTGTATGATTCATGGTTTCTAAACAACCCACCTCATTAAATTTAAGACGAATATATTCACAATAGAGATATGTGTATGCAAGGTGTATCCGACAAATATCCAATTAGCATCTGCAAGTATCTGACGAGTATTGGTATTTGATACGTATTGAATACACTATTGGTATCCGATATGTATCGGATATGGATACGTCACTCTATTCAAAGTATCCGTACTTCATATGCACAAACACATGCATGATCATCTCAAATACCATCACTGAAGTTGCATACAACACCAACAATATATTAAATTTAAGTGTAAAACTGACCAGTATATTGATAAACCCGACGGGACAGACAACGAGAAGTAACCAATCATGATTGGAAGAAACTTGAAAACAAGAAGTGTGTTCTTTTGTGCCGGGTCATCGGTCTGTCAACAAGACAAAGTTTATGGGTACCATCAAGGAAAACAAAAGAGAAAAGAAAATGGTAAAAATATGATGTAGAAACAAAACAAAGCCTTTACTTGGGGAGGCTTCATGATCTCCATCGAAACATACTGAGAAACAACAAGTAGGACTGGTAAAACAAGGTATGCTGCGGTGTCATGCCAACCCAATGGTGGATGGCCATCCTGCAAAATAGTTCACACGCATAAGCTCATGAAAAATAAATGCCCACTCAAAGCTTCATCAGAAGACAGTCATACCTAAAGCAGCTTCCCAAATCGAAAAGTTAAAGGCGAAACACAATTATACAAAAGTAAACTTGGCATTCGTACTGGTACAAGGTCCATCAGGAATCAGACAAAAAAGAGGGCAACCAGAGGAATTATGTGAGAGGAATGAAATGTTAACCAGTGAAGAAGCAGAGAGTAGTAAATTTATGAGTCCGGAGACCTTACCACAAATGGAAAAAGCCAAGAAATTCCAGATCCGCTTTGCCGAGCAGCAATTGTAGTTGGGCCTCCCAAAGAGGGAATCCAAAAGAAACCTTCTGTCAGCAGCCCCTTTAAGCAAAAATGTTCCAAAAGACAGCAATTATTATTTTATTCTGCATAGAAAACTATGTTCTCATCAACATCACTCCAAACTTAATGAACCAAAAACTCATTACCTCATTTGCCACATTTGACAGAGCTTGATATAAACCTATCCAGACCGGAATTGTTGCCAAAGTCGGGAAACAGCCTGGTAATTCATAGAAAAAGAAAACCAATTTTGATATGCATTCACCCCAAAATGCAACTAAGAGCATGGAGAAAATGAAATAGCACACATGAGACGAGGAAAATGGAATACAAAGCCTCGAGTGTTAGAGCAGGTACAAGGAAGTGAGCTGGGAAAGGAAACATGAATAAGGAAGTATTGCATGAAAAAACCACACATGACCAAATAAATTTCACAAAATGGAGGCAACAACCTACAACTACCACACTATCTCAGACCGTTGATAAATTAGAACCTCAGATTACATAATTTCATGTGGATTCAACAATCACTTTTCCTCTCTACCACATGAATTTTCCCATCAAATATAGCAACCCCTGATTCAAGGAAAAATGGACTCATAACCCTATATTCCATTCAATCAAAAGTATTAATTGTTTGGTTTCAAAAGTCTCATCCAAAGGCAAGAGAGAACATTTCCATTATTATTATGCAGGATGCAGATCCAAATAAATACCAAAAAAAAAAAAAAACAAAGAATCACATAAAATGAAAAAGAACATTGTTTTCAACTTTTCATAAATCATGTTTACATGGGTCCACCATAGCTTTTCACCCTGTTAGTGCTTTTGCCTATCAATGGAAAACTAGAAAAGATATTACAGAAGAGGGGAAAGAAATAAAAATATTAACTACTTCCAACAAGGATGAGAGGACATATTGCAAAAGTGTTTCACTTATGATGGTGTTTGCAAGGAGCAAGAGACATTTGAGAGGTGGATGTTCATGGATTAGGATACAAGTCTTCACTGGGCAGTCACAGAATGAAAAGGAATGATTACTAACCCTGAACCATGGTTCCCATATCAAACCCAAACAATCTGGAGTTACCTCATGTATTAAAGCATTACAATCATATGTGCATTTATTGGCAGTTGCACACATGAGTTCCAACATAGAAACCACATCATCTTAATGGACACTAAATAATATCGATTATTATCTCGCTTTTCAACAAATTAACAGCACAGCTTTTGTGCCTTACTAAAAAAACCCCAAAGTTTTTGTAAAATATCAGGGCAGAAAATATCAGAAGACATAATAAAAAGTCCACAGCAAATGTACCACAGATCAATAAATAAATAAAAATTAAAAACAAAAAGAGAAAATGCAGATAACTCATTGCATCATTCAAATTATTGACCCATCTGATAGTGAGAAAAAAAGATAATAAAGCTAGAAAAAAACTGGACTCAGAGAAAAAAAGTAAATTGGAAAATATATGGAACAATTGAATGGGTTAAATGTATGGTTTCATAGATAGGATTTGAGAGATTCAGGAGCCATACCACATTGGATTATCGCAGTACAAAATAAATGAGGCATCAAAAGGAACATCAGATTATAGACTATTTCATTTGGTAGACACTCAAACTACCAAAGTAACATTTCTCAAAATAATATTTATAAACCACAACTGCAGCTTGTCCAGTAGATTTCTCAAGATGACCAGATGTTCACATCATGAGCAATGGTCCTGAACTTGAGCCCCTCCATTGGGGGCATCATCCAATAATTGGCTCATGCAATCGATTGGGGCATGTGGAACGACAGAATGCCAGGTTTTGTGCTTAAAAGGATTAGTCAGGTCGGGTGCCCTAGATGCCCAACTAAATTCTTATTAAAAAGTGAAAAACCCAAGAATTACATGTGCTTAGAAGCCCTGAGCTTGAATCACTCCATTGGGGACATAATCCAAGAATTGGGACGGGTAATCAATTGGTGTATATGGGACAACAAAATTACTTGTGCTAAACTGGATTAGTAGGGTGCTCTAAAAGCCCAAATGCCTCCTAATTGGAAAGTTAACAAAACCCTAAAAACCTGAAATTTACATGTCTTCAGGGTGAGACCTGATTATGAATAAAATTGCATGCAACAAAATTGCATGCGAAATCCCATCACAAAGAAGGTATCAGCTTTTAGTAATTCACGATACATAGAATCAACTACAGTAAGAAAGTAAACAATTCGTTATCTAGCCAGTACAAAGATATAAATACTGGTACACAAATTGAAGATGTACCTGCCAAAGGATTAACCCCTGCCTGCTTGTATAGACGTGATGTCTCAAGTTGTATTCTTTCCTGAAAAGATGACAACATAACAAAGATAAAAGTTCTGACAAACTTTATATTGAGAAAGCAAGAGAACTGTCTGCACTTTTGTTGGATTTCACATACTGGCTTCTATAGAACAAGCATCAATGTAACCGATAAAAGAAAGATCAAACACATACTGGGTAGCATCATAGTTTTTAGGCACTTTCAATATTGTTTTTATTATCAAAAAAGGAAAGGATTAAAGAACAAGCGCTGTTATTAAAATATTTAATAATACTAGTTTGTTAATCTGAAGAGAAAATGCAATGCTTCTTTGATAAGTAAGACAAAAGATCAATGAAAACATCATTACAGCCACACTGCAGATATGAACACCATTATCTACAATTCATACTGCACACATGACAACAACCAAACAGTCAACTTAAATTTTCTAGAACTGGGGTAGATATTATACACGCGGATATTTACTCCAAAAGAGTTACAGAATTATTTCTACATATAGTTCTAAACACTTGAAAACTTGATCATTTTTCACCTGAGGAAACATGTGTTCACTTAAATTGTCAAAAAAAAAAATGTGCCTTCTTCCTCCTTCCACTATTTTTTTCCAAAAAAAAAACAATTGCTGACAAGTTCACAACTCCACATATGTGTGTTATGCTTAAATTGCATTCATATCATCCTGCACATTAGGAATCAACTCAATTGACTTACACAAACAGATCATCCGACTAGGTGACTGCAAATAATAAACAAAATTGTTCATGGGAATAACTATAGTGGTAGTATCTCTAGATTAGACTAAGACATAGACGGGTGCAAGAAAAGAATCTATGCTTTGCACTAAATGGGCTTTGTGATAAACGCATCCATGCACACATATATTTACCCATCCACACTCACTTTATTACTATCATGGTTTGATACTGGATGATAATAGTGAGAACATTATTAAAGCATCTTAAATACTTAAAATTCATCCTTTACATCAACTATTTCAGCTTTAGATGGTGATACTCCCTAAGTCACATAATTCGTCTAAAATACTCTATTGCTCTGAGTGTGAATTTTCGCTCTAACAGCGAATTCTTGGTTGACCAATTCACGCTTTCAAATATAAAATTCGCAAATTCAAAACTTTAAACCACGAATTAAACATTTAAACTAAAACTAGGCCACAAGCCCAAGACAAGACATGATGGCCTCTACTTTGGAAAGCCCACTAACCCCCATTTCATAGCATGCTTGACTGCCATGGTCTCCTTCCCTTCCGATGTGGGATAGGTTTCTAGGCCAAAAAATGTCCTCCAAAGGAGTGTCTAATCATTCACTCTTGGTATTGTTTTGATTCAAAAACCAAATTAATAGTTAACAAAATTGAAATAATTTATCAAATATTTGTATATGAAATTTAATTTTTTAAATTATATTTTTACTAACTTTTATATATGTAAACATGTATGAGCAATGATAGATGGACTTAAAAACTAAACTTAAAAATTAGACTTGATAATCTCAACCATTAAATTGGTAGTAGGTCTCAATAAATACTGGGACCCACTGTAAAATCAATTGTTGTAATTATCAAGTCTAGTTTTTAAGTACATGTAGCATTACTCAAACATGTATATATGTATATAATATGACGCTTGTGCTCTAAGATTTTTTTGAATTTTTACATTTTTGTGCTTCCACTCTATGTGATCTAGGATACTCCTATCAACATGCACTCATCAACAAGCAACACCACTGGAAATGTACCTCACCTGATTTCCAGCATATCTTTGTTGAATTGCTTTGAGCTTCGGTTGAAGGTTTTGCATTGCCAGTGTTGATTCAACCTTTATAGAAAAAAAACTTTATCAAGTAACATCGCAGCAACCGTCTTAATCAAAAATTATATCTCATGGAAGCAATGGAATAGGGCCTGTATATGCACATACATGAAAATTTGCATATTGACCATGTTCTCTGCTTAAATCAAAGAGAAAGTAATATTCACCTGTTGCTTTGTCAAAGGAAGCGTGACAATTTTAACTATAACAGTAAGCAGGATAATTGCAAATCCATAGGCATAAGGCACATGCACAGCAGCGAGTCCATCCTTCAGTACCTGACACAGGTATACCAGATACATTATGAATACACATATATAAAACATATTTACTCCTTGAGCAGATATAGGCAGTGTTCCAATAAGAACATAACCTCTCAATAAACTCTACAAAGAATTCAGGAATGTTCCAATACATCGACTATCCATATGCCACACTAGTAGTTCGACTACAACACCGATTAAAGTTGCAAAAGTAGATGAATTGTTTGTTACCAAGCATCCTGTAGAAACTTTAACCATCCTTTTTTGTTAATACTTATACGAGTACTTTTAAAAACTTTCTGACAATTTTTCAAAAGTAATGTATGTGCCTATTGTGAATAAGTTAGTTTGCTTAAAGGAAATTGTTACAAAACAGTACCCTATGAATTCCTACTTATGTACTTACATATTTGGTGTAGGTATGTGATTGTGAACCCAATTATAATAACATTTGTTTCCAACCATATGCACGCTATTACATGTATAGGTGTGTACAAGTGCATATAATCACTTCTAACCAGTTGATGAACTAGCATACATCGTTCTAAGTCAATCTTAATTAGTTGTAATTACCAAATTTTTACATTTTGAATTATCGATAGGCAGTTTTAATTGTATTTAAAGCACTGTTGAAAGTTTCGGGAATAGAAATTTACCTTCAACACAACTTCCATGGAATCCGAGATAAAACCAAACCATCCTCCGTTTTTCTGTACAGCGGTATCGGTAGAGCCCGAGGCAGCACCGCCTGAAGCCGAATCAACTGCCACGGCAGCATCAGCGAGCGTATAGAGAACTCCCTCCGCTCGGCTAACAATTGCGCTGAAATCGATCGAATTTCCGATGGAGTGAATAGGAGGAAGCTCATTTAAGCTGAATTTGACTCTGGTTGCGATGAGTCTGCGTCGTGGGAGGATGTGAAAGCCATGGCGAGTGAGGGAGGGCAGAGGCGTGCCGATGAATGACGGAGACGAAATTAGAGTTTTCGCCATGGATTGCTGAATTGGTTTACTTGTAGGGTTTATGGAGACAGTGCAATTCAGCAATTCATGGAGAGAGAGAGAGAGAGAGAGAGAGAGATTTGTGGAGGATGAGGGAAGCTTGGGAGTGGAGGAGGGAAAGAGAGTTAGATGATGAGAAACCAGACCAATTTTCGTGTTATCCGTATCGTTTTCCGAGTGGAAAAAACAAAAGTCAATTCTGCGACTGCGTGTGGTTCGTNCACTTCTAACCAGTTGATGAACTAGCATACATCGTTCTAAGTCAATCTTAATTAGTTGTAATTACCAAATTTTTACATTTTGAATTATCGATAGGCAGTTTTAATTGTATTTAAAGCACTGTTGAAAGTTTCGGGAATAGAAATTTACCTTCAACACAACTTCCATGGAATCCGAGATAAAACCAAACCATCCTCCGTTTTTCTGTACAGCGGTATCGGTAGAGCCCGAGGCAGCACCGCCTGAAGCCGAATCAACTGCCACGGCAGCATCAGCGAGCGTATAGAGAACTCCCTCCGCTCGGCTAACAATTGCGCTGAAATCGATCGAATTTCCGATGGAGTGAATAGGAGGAAGCTCATTTAAGCTGAATTTGACTCTGGTTGCGATGAGTCTGCGTCGTGGGAGGATGTGAAAGCCATGGCGAGTGAGGGAGGGCAGAGGCGTGCCGATGAATGAAGGAGACGAAATTAGAGTTTTCGCCATGGATTGCTAAATTGGTTTACTTGTAGGGTTTATGGAGACAGTGCAATTCAGCAATTCATGGAGAGAGAGAGAGAGATTTGTGGAGGATGAGGGAAGCTTGGGAGTGGAGGAGGGAAAGAGAGTTAGATGATGAGAAACCAGACCATTTTTCGTGTTATCCGTATCGTTTTCCGAGTGGAAAAAACAAAAGTTAAGTCTGCGACTGCGTGTGGTTCGANCCAGACCAATTTTCGTGTTATCCGTATCGTTTTCCGAGTGGAAAAAACAAAAGTCAATTCTGCGACTGCGTGTGGTTCGTCCACGGTAACGAATTAAAGTAAGCCACGTCATGATCGAAGGGGTTTGGTAGTATTTTAATTTTGGAATATGCTATTTCAAACCTAATTCAAATACAATTATAAAATTAAAACTAAGCTCTAATTAATATTAAAACTTCCAACTAATTTAGATTTAATTGAATTAAATCCTTAATCAAGTAGGTCTTATACCATTGCTTATTTATTTATTTTTTTCTTTATCTCATAAATGTTCGATGAACTATATTTTTTGTTTTAAATTGTCCCCTAAATTTTCAACTTTCTCAATTTATCCCTTTAATTATGTAATTTATTTAAATCAACTCTTTCTCTTTAGATTAATTTCTAAATGAAATAACACCTGTTAAGATTAACTATTATTAATGAAAGCAACCAATTAAATTAATTACATAGTTAAGGGGGTAAATTAAAATAATTAAAAGTTCATGAGTCAATTTAAAATAAAGGTCATAATTTAGGGGTATTTATGCAATTTATCCATATTTTTGGATGCGACTGTTATTTTAGAGGAATGTTTGTGAGTCACAATATTACATGAAACTTATTTTTTTTAACAATTATGATTAATTAAAATTTTAATTTAGTTGTTCAAATTAAATATAAATAGTCTTTTTTCTATATTATATTAGTATGGTGATATTTCAAATAACAATTCGCCACGCCAGTTCTTAGATGGGTCCTAGGCCGGGTCTGGTGGAGGATTTGGATACTTCCAATACCTTGCTTCTCTATCTATTCCTTTCTTTTTTTTTATTTTAATATTTGGTCCTTTGGTCTGAATTTAAATACAATTACTTCACATGTTTTCTACCACCATACTGTTGATTGGTCTAATTCTTCTATCACACCTTGTTCCACATTGACATGATAATATGTTTCAATTAATATTTGAATTTTGCTGAATTTTCAACTATTTTATCTATATCTATAAAAAAATTAATTTTTTATTTTATCCTAAATTATGATAATAAAGTCAATTATATTCACTTATATATTTTCACTTGATTTTTATTTTTTATTCTTATTGGACTTTCAACTTATTTTGAATTTTTTTATAAAAATTTTTAAATTTTTTTGAACTTATTTATTAGTAGTATAATTATATATAATTTTTTATATCTATACAAAGAAGTAAAATTTTATATATGTTAAATTATTATATTTTATTTTTTAGTATGTAATAATATAATAATCTATATTAATGTCTTATAAGCCCTAATTCCTTGAATTTATTCCCTAATCCTGTCGTCTCCCGCCTTTCTCCCAACCTCTCCTTTTCCAACCGTCACTCTAGCCATTTCTCTCTTTTTACTGAACGACTCTCAGTTGCCTGTCTGTTTCTTCATCCTCTCTATCTCTCTCCCTCCACAAAATGCCCAATATCCTCACCCGTTTCTCTGCCCCTCTTCCTCTACTTTTCCTAGCTAGCTTTGTCTCTCTCTCAATAAAATCCGAGAGCTATCACCTTGATTACTACCAACCCCTGACTACTCCTACATTATTATGTGTTTTGGGGGGTTGGTGAGGATATCGGAAATTTGAGAGTTATCCCCTTTCTTGTTTGAGTTTCAGATAATTCTGAAATTATATACAAGTCATAATTCTTTGATTGCTTTGGAGGTCCTATAAATATGGCTGATCCTTTCTCTCCCAAGAAATTCATCTTTTCTCCATGATTTTTTGCGAGAATGACTCGGAAGCAGAGGAAGCCATGTGGTCCACGATGAAAAAAATCGTGTTACGACACAAGAACGCTACGACACAACTCCTACGCCTCTTGTTTATGATTGCTTCATTGAGGTATTATGAACATCTATGTAGATATTTAATTGATTATATTATATGTACTATATTGATTAAATGGATGTTTTATACGTGTGGGTTTCTTCATGAAAAAATTTGAAAAAATCTTGTCTATATAACCCAATAACAATTCCTTTAAAAATTTGGTCTACTTAGAAACCCATATTTGAGGTGTGAAGCAAGATACAAGATCTTTAGGAAAGGATTTTTAGGACTGGCACTGGTGCAAAGCAAACAGACTGATTAAGAATCGGTAAAGAATTTTTTTTTTTTTGCCTAAAATTAACCACAACATAAAATAGATGACGATCATGAGGTTTTCCTTTAGCATCAGCTAACCTAAGCACGTAATTGATTCATGTTAATTTTGATAGGGCTAACTTATTTCCAAATGGACAATTCTACCATGCTAAACCTATTATTAGGATGTTTGCAATGTGACCAGATTCTGCAACAATCCATAAGCAGAAGGGTGTATTAGTTTCTAACCTAATGCAAGCCAACATGAGGCAGCTTACCTCAAAAAGAACAAGCATGGAAACTATGTAGACATAACAACTAATGGAAATGGTTCATAATTTTTCATTTTTTGATACTGGTCTATATTCTCATACTTTGTGATTCAGGAAATTTTGGTCTATCCAAATAATCTTGAAGGTTTCAAATATAAATTTCGTAATACAACACTTTCAACAATTAGCAAAACAGAGATATTTATCCTGATAATTGGCTTATGTAACCGATGATTTATATTTACATCTTTGTGACGACTATTTACTCCTACAGTTTCATTTTTTGTATTGCCTTGTACCTCCGCATTTTCAATGATGGCTACTGTAATTGATTTACATTTACAACCTTGAGACTATACCCCTTCTATTAATGAATATATCTGTTTGTCAAAGTCTATTGTTTCATCTTCCATGATTTGGGTTTTTCAATATGCAGCCTACTTTCCAACTCGGCATATTCAACTTGCTATCCCAGAAATTGAAGCATCTTCTTATCTCCTTTGTTCCAAGAATAAGTTGGGAATACCATTGACCAGAACTCATGAGCATGATTTCATCTGATTTCACCCACCTTAGATATATGTTTATTACTGGACCCAACAAAGGGAAGTTCCAAGAGATTGCAAGTGTCAATTTCCCGTCATCCCTAGCAACAGTCAGAAAAGCTTGGGACAATTCCCGCATATACTATCTTGAGGACGATATCACACCCTTGAATGAGATTGTCAAAAAACGTGGAATGAGGTGTCGACTCTGCTGCATTGTTATTTATAAGTTTTTAGATTATCTGTTTAGATCTTCTACTGTAATCCATTATTTTCAGGAAAAAGAAGGCTAGAGCTAAATTACAGCCATCATTATCAAAAAATGATTGTGTTTTGCATTATTTTGTTCTTTTATTGGTTGTTTCCTTATCATTTCCATAGATCTGTGGCTTAGATGTGAGGGAAAAGAAGTTCTGACTGCACTCTTCATAGTTGTTGCAGATGTTGAACCAAAATTATCCAAGCTAACATTCAATCCTCAGTTGTCCAGAATGGTTCTCTTTGATATGTCTGATTTTCCATGTCTTGGTACACAAAAAGGATTTTGTTGGCTTGGTGAAATTGCTCTGTATCGCACGGTTTGCACCAGATTGCTAAAATATGGAATGCTTGGAATGCTTGACTTGTTGCCAGAAACACTGTGAACAAGTGGTTCAAAATGATTATTGCTTGCAACTCTGTTCAAAATATGTAAGCTACTTCATTCCAAAACTCCTTTTTTTTGGATAAGGACATGCTTTATTATGTAATTTTATATCTTTACCACTTCTTATATTTCAACAGTAGCTTATTAGTATAAACATTCACCAAACTCTTGAGCATGAGAATTTACAATTTAAAAGTTTAAAATCTGAGATAACTGATTGATGCAGATTTGCAATCCTTATTTTCCCTAGAAAGTGAGTCATGCAAGTATTGAAGCCAAGTAGTTGACCTATTAAATGTGACCAGGACATAGTGATGTAAAAATGGTATAAAAGCATCTCATTTCACTGAAGAAGTCTATGATGCTTCTGTTTATTTATTGTTGATGTTTTGACTGACTAATATGTAGTAACATAACTATTAATTACAAGTTTGAAACAATTCGAAGATGGACATGATAGGAGATTTTGTGATGAATTGCAGAGAAGATTTCTTAGACAATGTCATAATCAAATATTTATTAGAGATTTTAATTATTGCTTTTCAAACTCTTGGTTTTATAGTGATTTTGAAGGAAATGAAGAGAAGAAGAGATGCCTTGACACAACATCTTTTTGTTTCAGGTACACAAAGCACTTTATAAAGGACATGTTTAATTTATCCTTGCAAGTGTTTAGAACATATATAGAATTTATACTATTTGAATATCAAGGGGATGGTGTTTCCAACTTATTGTATTTATACATTTTTAGATGAAAAAAATCACAAACATTCTATTATAAAAAATTTTAGGAACTTGTGACCAAGCTAATGTTATTAAGGCATATCTTTGGCTTATAGATGGAAAAATCTCAAGTACTCAATTAGTTATTCTCAAATCTTTTGTTGACATTATACTTGAATTCATTATTATTTTGTATGGAAATCTTAAAAGTTTTGGTTGTTGCGTGCCATGGTTTTAGAGGGCTATAGATACTACATTAATGTTAGCGGTTTGGTTTTGTGCTTCCGAGCAAAAGAGAGTTTAGGAATATTATTACTATTCCAAAATTGACATTGATTTAATGTATTGCAAGGAAGTTGAGTATTGATCCGTCAGGAGGTATATAAATTCAACTAGCTTTTAACTATTGTTTAGGCTGCCCACCAGAGACTCAAATAAGGGTGCCCTCTGCTTTGTTTTTTGAATTGTTACTCTGGCAAAACAACAAAGAACAGCCAAATAGTTCACTAATAAGGCATTTGGGCATACCACCCCAAAACATTACTCCCCACTTTGTTTCTAGATTATAAAATTAGCTCATCATGATGTTGTGTCATTTAAATGAATATTCTAGTACATGAATTTTCAGATTTTTAAGCCATTTTATCTCTAGATTTTTACACTGGGAATTTATTTGATAGCGGCTCAGAGAGTGTAAGATTGCCCTCAAGAGATACACACGTATCAACCAACTAACAAGTATTATGGGAACTTGAAGGCAATGAAACTTGCTATCTCTAATATTTAGTTTTTTAGAACTAGAAGTTGGTTTCTTGCTATCTCTAATCCTTAGTTTTGTAGAACTAGAAGTTGGTTTTGCTTTCGATTATAATATACAATTCCTCGATGACCTCATGTGGTGATTGTTTTCCATTTGCATATTGCTGTGATACCGTACACATGAATTTCGTATTAAAAAGTATTGTAAACAAAACAAACGAAATTGTTATCGTCATCAAGCATTTTTTTTTCTTTTTTTGGGAGGGGGAGGGGGAGGGGGAATGATCAAGCATTCAGCTTATTGACTTTAGACAGAAAAATGAAATGGTATTCACTTAGAGAACATACCTCCTCTTATAATTGTATTAAGCTGGGTCACCATCTTCTTCGTTCATAACATTCCATGTCATTCAAATGCTAGGAAGGGAGTTGGTGACACTGATGGTTATTTCTATGAGCTAGGTTGAAGGTTATGATCTTATATGCTTCGTTTAAGAATCTTATTTTGGATTGAGATTTTTAATTGTAATTGGAATGTATGAGTCATAAAATTCACTCCTTAAATTTAGTTAATGTGTCCAAATCCTTTTCTTTGAATGTCAATTAGCACAAAATCACCTTGAAAGATTTTGCGTCAAAATGCTCAACCTTGTACAAACAAACGTAAAACTCCATTCTATACAATAAAAAATAAAATTATACTTCAAAATTGTTCACATGCAACGCACGTGTGCACCACATAGTATTATAAGATATTTAATTATTTTATTTAAAAAATAAAAATTAATAATTTTATAATATAATTAGATGTGCAAATGCTAAAAGGGTTAGAGAGATACATAAATAAATAACAAATTAAGTATACAAAAATAAATGATAAATTAAGTACTCAAAGACTTATAAAATAAATTAGTAATTAAATTTAGCAATAATTAAAATAAAAATTAATTATTCAACATCTAGTTTATTATTTACTTTAATTATACATATAATTCACTTTTTCTATTAAAAATACATTATTTAAATTTATTTACCTACAACGCATGCCGTGTATTACTAATATTAATAAAAAGTGTGGAGAAAGTTTGTTGTTTGCTTATAAATTATATATAATACCCTTTACTCTTTTTCAAATTAGGGAAAATTGGAAGGGGGTACACCAAAATATACTTAATTGTAAAAAAGTACACAGAAAAAAATGTTGAGTAATTAAATCCTTAATTTTGATACTTATTTGTATCTAAGTATATTATTTGAATTTTACTAATTTTTTTGTGACATTTTTGTCCTCTATTGATCCATGTGTATTTTTTTTGGAAAGTGATGCATTAAACATCTCTAAGTTTTATGGGAGTACTTTAATATTCCATATTTGTATGTTTTATCTTGATTCATGCGACTTGTGTTGGAAAGTGATTTTATTTTCAAATTGTATATAATGCGTATTAATAAATAAATATATATATATATATATATATATACTTGCTGTTAAATCTCTTATCTAAATTTTGAATTATCCTTAATGCACCTTGATTCATGCGTATTTTTTTTTTTTGGAAAGTGATTTTGTTTTCAAATTATATTTAATGCACCTTAATTCATGTTTTTTTTTTTGGATAGTGGTTTTATTTTTAAATTAATTTAATATTCAAATATTGTAACAGTGTAACAATAACAGTGTAACAAGCTATTTACACAAAATATGGTACTATTACATTAAGTCAAACATATAGTTTTATATAATTTTATTCAAAATAGTTCATCTCTGTTTTGAATTTGTTACCACATGTACAAAACTACTGAATACTATTTTTGTTATAGTGTATTGTTACACTCTCTTTGTTACAGTGTATTTGTTACACTATTATGGAGTTCAGATATTAACAAATTTTGAAATTCAAATAAGTGATATATTCTAAAATAAACAAAATATTATAATTCTCCTATAAAACTATTAGTAGTAAATATTTAATGCATAAATATAATTTGAAAATAAAACTACTTTAAAAAAAAAATACGCATGAATCAATGTGCATTAAAGATAATTCAAAATTTAGATAAGAGATTTAATAACAAATATATATATATATATATATATATACACACACTTATATAAATACGTATGTATGTATAATTTATATACATATACGCTTTCATATATACATGAATACAAATTTTANATATATATATATATATATATATATATATATATATATATATATATATTAACAAATACACATAAATCAAGGTGCATTAAAGATAAGAAATTTTAAATTAAATGACTCTAAAATAGGCATTTACGTCTTTGTATCTCAGATATGTACTTTTTTTCAAAATATTTTGTTCTATGTACTTTTTGTCAAATAAGTCTAATTAGGTGTACCAGCTTCCAAAAAATCCTTCAAATTATTCCCCTATAATTTACTCTTAACTATATTTGATGAGCCTAGATTTTAATGGGTCAGGCCCAATTAACTAAGTAAGCTCAACTTAGCTACAACGGAGGTTAAGCCCAGTTTATGGATTCGGCTCAAACCAAAGTTCAAGAAGTATCCTAGTTGTAGCTATCCTCTCCGAACATCTAGTCACCTATCCTTTCACGTCATCGCCTTAACTGAGGCTCTGTGCCTATAAATTATAAGCCTTCTGCACACGAGGAGAATATCTCTCTACATACCTTTTACACACATCTACATTTCACACAAAGATACCTCACCTCACCTTGAGCGTACTTTTGTTCTTTTCTCTCTCCTCCACTCCACCATCCACTTTATTAATAAAGATTTTCGGCCACCGTAGCCGCCTTCGCAATGGAGTAGGTCCTGACCAAATCACTATACATCTGTGTGTTAACCCAACTTTTGTCTCCTTTATTAATTTCCCTATTGATTGTTTCATTAATTACTCAGCATCATACACTCGATTGTTGATTGTACATAAGTCTATTTTGTGCATCATCAATATTCATCTGTCTGTATTGATAACATGTTAATATTACTGATAGGATTCAAGATACTTACCGTTATCATTTAGGCAATTGACTCTCTCTTCTTAGCTAGAGTTTAGGCTATAAACTAGGCAAGTAATATGATTCTAGTTAATATTTGTATAGCTGTTAAACAGATTTGTATAGCTGTTAAAATTTGTGTATATTGGACTATAAATACAATGCAATCCCAACCTTAAAGTTGAGCTATTCTTTCTAAATATTCTCTCTTCCTTTCATGGTATCAGAGCATTTGGTTGCGTATTCTTAAAAAAAAAAAAAAATTTCTTTCTCGGCAATGACCACCTCTACAGTATCTGCCTCTACCACCTCTTCTGCCCTTCCCATCTCTCTGGCTGCTCTCACAAATAATTTTTCTACCCAACTCAATGCCGATAACTACTTGCTTTGGCGTGATCAAATTACCCCCCTCCTTATATGCAATGATCTCTATGGCCATATTGATGGAACTGAACCGCCTCCTTCAAAAACCATTCTTGTTGACAGCACTGCTTGTCCAAATCCCAACTACGCTAAAGAATATGCTCATTGGTTCAAAATTGATCAACTTGTTGTAGGTGGCATTAAGAATACGCTTTCATCAACCGCTTGCGCGGAGGTCCTGGGTAAGAACGTCGCCAAGGACGTTTGGGACACTCTTGAAACGCTCTTCCATCAACAAACTCTATCTCGTGCCGATATCTTGCACGATACACTTCTTGACACCTACAAAAATGATCTCTCTATCGAAGCTTACCTCGCCAAAATCAAAGGTATTGCTGATCAACTCGCTGCAATCCAACAACCTGTCCCAGACAGTGAATTGGTGAAGCGGACCCTTCGTGGCCTTCCTCATACTCTTGAGTATCAATCATTTGCTCAAGGTATTCCTAATCGACATACTCCAATTTCTTTCACAGAGCTTCATGCTCGACTTCTTGTTCATGAACAAGAACTTGAGCGTATCCGTGGCCGTGCACCCCCGCCATTGGCTCCTACCAGCGATCAACTCTTGCCTCAGGCTTTGGTTGCCCAACAAAATTCTCAGCCATTCCGCAATACAAATCGCCAAAATTCCCGTCGCCCAAATTAGCCAAAGCAAGGCAATGTTTCTCCAAATTTTGGTGGTCCCATTCCAAGCATACTCGGGCAGTATCCTACTAATGCCTATTCACCTCCTAGTGGCCTCTCTAATAGAAATTTCAATAATGGTTTCAATTATAGTGGACCCCGATCCTATAGTGGCTCCAATCGCAATCGGTTTGGCAGTTCTCGCTATCGTGGCCGCTGCCAAATATGTAAACAAGAAGGTCATTCCGCTGCCAATTGTAATTATCGTTATGTTCGCCCCGACTCCAGTGACAGTGATAGCATTTCCACTCAATTCACCGGATTTCATGTCCCTAATCTGCCGCCTTCGATGGAGACCTCCCTTGATTGTGTCTCTCCTCACTGGCTTGGTGACACTGGTGCAACAAATCACATGGCTTTTCATTCTGGCCTAGTTCAACATCCTACTCCTTTTAATGGTACCTCAGGTGTGTATGTCGGTAATGGTGACTCTCTCTCTATTTCTCACATTGGTAATTCTTCCATCAAATTGGATTCCAAATTGCTCTCCTTGAATGGTGTTCTTGTGGTTCCGCAATTAAAGGAAAATCTTGTCTCTATTGCTAAACTTACAAAGGATAACAACATTGTGTTTGCTTGTTTTCCATGGGGCTTTGCTATAAAGGATTTGGCAACAGGGCAGACACTTTTGAAGGGACCAATTAAAGACAACCTCTATCCGATACCAGTTCATGCACTTTCTCAATCTCTCCACACGTTGTCCTGCAATAACACAGCCTTTGTTTGTCATACTGCTAAAGTTGCTCCTAGTTCAATTTGGCTCTGCCGCCTTGGCCATCCTGGAACTAAAGTCTTGCAGCAGTTAGTTTCTGACAAACTAATTTGTACTTCGGATGAAATTTCCTCTATGTTGTTTTGTGATG